CGGTAATCTGTAATTTACGTTACATTTTGGTTACAATTATGCAAACATATCAATATCGTAAATCATGTATAAAGTATATTCGCATGAATTTGACTGACAACTTATCGACCTTATAAACGTAAATTATATTTCTTATCAAACTTTATAAATTATTTTATTCGATTTGTTCAACGAAAGAAGCAAATATGACAAGTAAAATGAACAAAGTGCCGATAGTTTATCATCAAGCATATAATATTGCCTTTTGGCATCTCGAAAAGGTCCGTGGATCTGATTCTTGTTCAAGCTTGTAAAAAAATGGTTTATCAATTTTTTTTTTTTTTTTCTAGGTTCATCCCTTTGACACACAAAAATATAAACGCATTCATAGAATTCTTATTTCAACTGGTATTTTTGATTTAACCTCTTTTTATGAACCCTCTCCACCAACTCAACTTGATTTAGCCAACCTTCATTCCTCTCAGTACCTTGATTCCCTAAATAGTAGCTCTCAGCTACAAAAAATTTTAGAGGTACCGTTTGTGGCAATGTTACCACATGTTTTATTAAAGAAAAAAATTTTAGATCCTATGCTATTACAAACTGGTGGAAGTGTTTTGGCTGCAGGTGACTTTTACACCCTAAAAGTCGTAATTAATATTATTTTTATCACTTTTGAAATTTAATATTTTAATTGTATTTTTCAAAAATATGAGAACTGGCATTGGAATACGGTTGGGGTATTAATTTAGGAGGTAGGTCATTTATATATTTATATATATCCATTTTTTTAATTCATCTTCATCTTGCTTTCCATTCATTGTGCATATTCTTTAGGTGGTTTCCATCATGCTCATCACGATGGAGGTGGTGGTTTTTGTGTCTATGCGGATATTACTTTAATGGTGGAAAAAATACTAAGTAAATATCCAAACAAGGTTTCAAGAATTATGATTGTGGATTTAGATGCTCACCAAGTATATAATTTGTAATTAATAACCTTTTTCTAAAATTTTATTTTTTTACTTGTTCTAAATACTTTATA